CGTACTCTACATGCCCGTACCCTGCATGCCCGTACTCTACATGCCCGCACTCTACATGCCCGTACGCTACATGCCCGTACGCTACATGCCCGTACGCTACATGCCCAGGTCCTCAAATATCTACAGATTAAACTGCAGAACCGGGGGGCTTGTTCTTAGATGTTGGTTTTGCACCTTTGTTAAATTTATATTAATGTGGGTGCATTCATATACAGTAGTCCCCCGTATCCCCAGGGGATACAATCCAAGACTGCAGATAATAGCGAACCTGCCGCAGCCCCCACATATAACCTGATTTTCATGTTCATACATAAGTTCAAAGATTAATTGATAAGTTACACACAGTAAGACATTACCAACATTAAATACAGTGGTAATAACGTACATTGTACATTATTATATAGCGCTGTACAGTACTGTACTCTCGAATTAAAGCTTAATTCTGAAGGACAATAGAGGGATGAAAAAATATCGTGTCAAGGGACAGCAGAGCTTCATATGCACTGCGATTACGCAGCAACAAATGCGAGCATCGAAAACACGAGAGGCAGTCTGGATGAGAGTTTTGCAGGGAAGTGTGGGAATGGTGAGAAAGGGAGAAGTCGTGATGAGCACATCCTGGCCGATTTCACCGTGTTACAGCCTGTCCTCGCTTGGCGCGCGGTTTGAAACTTACGAACCATTTGTTTATGGAATTCTCAGTTTTATTTTCAGAGCGCGGGTAACAGAGATTGCCCATACAGGGGTCCCTCTGTATATATGTGTTAAACTGAAACGGATTGAATGAGCTTGTCTTTCGTCTCTAAATGGACCTCCTGCGTCTGCTATGGCAGCTGCCTCCGGGGACGTCCAGGCCTATCAGATCCGCACGGCCCCCACCAACACCATCGCTCCCGGGGTGGTCATGGCCACCTCTCCCGCCATCCCCGCCCAGGGTGGCGCTGAAGAGGCAACTCGCAAGAGGGAAGTGCGTCTCATGAAGAACAGGTAAGGCAGTGACACCATTAAAACCTACAGACTGATGCTTTTTTACAGTCGGCCAGTCAAATTTATCCCTCCGTGATTCTCTGCTGGTCCGTGTTCATGTTTCTTACGCCTTTCTCCATCTGTATGACTCTCACACATTTACGCATATATTTACACTGAGCATTTTAATAAGCATCTCAGTGCTTCCTGTTTGAAAATAAGCCTTGGCTGTTTGTCTGACATCCAAAGCTGAGCAAATTCCTGTGGTGTATTTCTAAAAAAACAAAGGGCCCCTGTATGTCCTTTTCCCCTTCTGCCATGCCAACATCTGTATTATTCAATATTGAAGTTAATCATGGGAGTACAAAAGTAGAAAATAATCCTGGCTCTCTGACATCCACAGGATTCGCCACTGTACAGTGAGAGTTTAAGGAATGATGTGTTCTGGTACTTTGCAGATGAATTGTAAAAAGTTTGGAGAACCTGGTGTAGATCGACCGACATACTGATCTCAGTGTCATGGGGAAGGTGTATTAAGGATAAGAACTTAAATAAAACAAGAATCACTTTTACTGAGAAGTTAAGCAGTGCATTCGCCCATCGTTCATCCATAAGAATGTTCTGACTGTGAGGTCAGTCTGACCTGCCCTGTTGTAGAAGGCCGACATTAATGCCCCTTTCCGACCGTGTCGCAGGGAGGCTGCCCGGGAATGCCGCAGGAAGAAGAAGGAGTATGTCAAATGCCTGGAGAACCGCGTGGCGGTGTTGGAGAACCAGAACAAGACCCTCATCGAGGAGCTGAAAGCGCTTAAAGACCTGTACTGCCATAAGTCAGAGTAGTCCTCGTCCCGCCGCTCCAGAGACTTAGCCCCCCCTGGGCATGAACATTTGTTTATTTTCTATGTTTTTAAAGCTATGAGCCCCCGATGCAAGAGGCCAACCATAGGAAGTAACTGTAACTCTAAGCTCCTTTGTCTCTTTCTGCTTTTGTGGATCGCAACCTTCAAAGGGGCACCTTGAATCTCGAGTGAGCACCCGCAGTCGTCGCTGAGCGGGATAGTGGCTGGCAGCGGTGCAGACGTGCAGAGCTTTTCCCTGGGGAGGAGTCTGTACCCCTGCGCTCCCCCATGTACAGTTGGCTGGTGCGTGTACTCAGGCAGACTGTCAGAGCGGGACACCACAGCGGCCCCCGGGGAAGGACAGCCGTACTTCTGTCTGCTGGCTGTGTGTCAGAGCCGGCCGCTCGGACGCTGTTGTTGGGAAGGTGTTCTGCAGATTGCTACAGATATTTGTACTGAAATTTCGGCCTGTTTCCCATTTTACCATTTAAGTATTTTTTTAAATAGCTGGTAAGCATGCAGATCAAAAACAAAGTTACGATAATGACAGCAGTTGGGGCTTGTAGGTATCTGAATACTGGCATTTTGTCCCAATCAGGTTAAACCTAGTCGCAGGGCCCCATGAAGACTGACAAGGACAGTCAGGAAGAGCATGAGGAATCTGCTTATAGTCTATTTCTATGCCTGCTCCTTCTTCAGTCTGGCACATTCGTCGCAGGATGTTGCCCAGGTTCTGTCAATCAAACCGTAGCATTACAAGCCAGAAAGGAACCTCACATGGGATCGATAGACTCAGTGCCCCATCCCCCCCGCCCCCCTGCCCGTGGCTTTGTGAATCCATAGAATCCACAGCAGACGCCCAGGAGGTGCCGACCTGAGGTCTGTAAACTGGTTTCCTGTACCAGAATCAGCAATGCCCACAAATCATCGCTCATCTCAGATAATTCTTATTGAAAACGTGCCCCCGTAGAAGAAGAAAAAATCGACCGTTTTGATCTTCATGGTTTCTTCATTGAGTGATGTTAAAGTATAAATTGCCTTTGTTTTCTGGCCTGAAGCATTTCTGTGCATCTCCAATGTGCAGTGTGGGGGCTTTTGGGGGGGGGGGCAGGATACATTGTGTTCATTCATGAGTGCTGTATTTTATCATTCATTTTTATTGTGATATGATTACATAGAGCTGAGGTTCCCAGTTCATATTTTTCCACAGTAGTGTATTTTTGTATTTTTTTTTAGTATTTGTTTATTTTGTATGTCTAGGTCATAACCCGTACATATTTTAATTTACTTGATATAACTAAAATGTGTTCAGAGTTGGGCAGCATGGTGGATAGCACTGTCACAGCACTGTCACAGCACACTTCTAAGAATGCGGGTTCAGTTTTATGTCTGTTACATGATTAAAACATCCATGCATCCAGCTACTCCTGATGAAGATCACTGTGGCAGCATTGCCTTGCAAATTTTTTGGGTCATTTTAATTGGTCATTTAGAGCAGAAACGGGAATTCAACATCTTTCTAACTCAACATCTTTCTAACTTGTTTCCCAGCCCAGTCCTTGTGGACCCCTAGACAGTCCACAGCTTCCTGCCAGAGTGTCCAGACCAGGGGTCTCCAACTCCGGTCCTGGAGAGCTACTATCCAGTAGGTTTTGTATCCTATTTGGCTTCTGATGAGCCACACCTGCTCCTGGTATTTACCTGAGAACAGGTGTGGCTCATCAGAAGCCGGGAAGGATAGAAAACCTACTGGATAGTAGCTCTCCAGGACCGGAGTTGGAGACCCCTGGTCCAGATAGTCCCAGAGGGACAGGCTGGGATACCTGCTGCTCTGTGCTGATCTTGGGCACCAGCTTCATACCCAGAATATCGGACGTGGTGTGTTTAGTTACGTACATGTTACTGTGCATTGAGTTATTCCACATATTAGGCTGTAGTGTTGTATTTTCATTTTAGCAAGTCATGCATTTACTAGTGATTCGGCCATTTTCATTCGCCATTTGATTCTGTTCGCATTTAAGATTCCCAGATTGAGAGAGTTGCTGCATGTAATAAGAAGGGTGTGTTTTTTGCACTGGGTAGGACCCTGATTACAGTTGATTCCTCTGTGTCTGCAGAATGTCAAAGTTCAGATCTGTCTCACTTTTCTGGAGGGGGTGTAATCAGCTTCCAAATGGCCGCTCCGATGTCCCACATTCGTTCTGTATGGTGATATGAGGATGAACTGCTGGCCAAATGGGATAATGAGTGTAAAGTGGAAAGGTCGCTATTTTTAATGTAGGCTATGAAAAGTTTATGCTGTATTATTTAGCCGTCTTTATTTTTATATGTAAATGATTGTTACGGTGTACAGCTGTCCTTGTGTCTTACTTTGTGAGGGGAATGGGCGGCCTGCGGTCAGAGCAGAGGCTCGATTTTCCTCCTCTGCCCCGACACGCGTACCTCCTTACAAAATCTGAGACGTTGGAATTTTCTCGCCCCTCCTGCGACGGAACGACTTTCTTACTCCAGTTTCAGAAAGAGGCATGTGATGCGTTTTCCTTCCTTCAGTCTGGCCTGTTTTAATGCACAGCTTCTATCTGTATCTGCTCAAAAAAAACGTTTTATTGTTTTTCTCAAAATTGAACGGATGTTTCTAATGCAAAGTCATACTTGTCTTACAAAGAAATTTGTAATATTCTAAAAGATATTAACTTCCCCTGTTGGAAAACTTTGAAAACACAACTGAAATGAGATATTCTGTTAAGATTGTTTTCTTTTAAACCTGATGTTTATTACACTCTACCAGTCTTCCCCATCTTGAGCAAACCAGCATTGCAGTGTGTTAAACCCCCAATGCAAAGACGCCTTAACCTTCTCTGTAATTCTGTTTTTTTCTGAGTGTACCTTTTCCATACCTTGTATGCACTGGTATTCGGGAGTCTCACTCTCTGCTCAGCTGTGTCCATTCGCAGACTTTCTGCCAAAGCTCCGTGCAGTAATTGGCATACCTATGCACTTCTGCATACTTACGCATTTCTCAAAATCGCTGCAGTGGTATTTACATTTTAATATCCAATATTCCAATCAAGTTGCCGGTTAGTGAGACGGATGGGCGGAGGCGAGGACAGCCAGAGATATCTGATACATCCCTAATGGTGGCGTTAGCTGATAAGTCTGGGACAGTAAACCTCTAGAGGGACCTGGATTCCAGGCATCTGATGAGCATCTGAGACCCCTGGAGACCCACAGCGACTCCCTTCTGTTCTAAATGTTGACAGGGACCCTGTATATATTATTGGTCCTGTTTAATGCATCAGCACTGTAATTAAGAGCCTATTTGATGCCAGTCTTACTGACCTTTTATAAACATTTATGTAAAGCCACAGTAAAGTCGCTTTGAAAGTCACCCTTTTTGCCTGTTACAAAACCATAAAAAAAAAAAAAAGAAAAACATCCTGACATTAAATTTAACAACAATTTTAGGGGGAGGTGGGATTCATAACAGGATCCACTGTCCTGCCGCAGCTGCCTCAAGGTGGTTTCCGTGGAAACCAGGGACCCTATGAGCAGTGGAGAAGCCCCATTTACCTAAACCGTCGTTCCACCAGAAATCACCATCAGCAAAATCTTAAATCTGAGCTCAACATTTTGATATATGTTTATTTATTTATTAAAATGTAGTTTCAGAGGTGGAAAGTTCAGGTTCAAAAACCAGTTGAGTATAAAGAGTCAGTCACAGTACTCGACTGGTTGATTGAAACAAAATCTTGGTCTGGATTTGTACTTTTTGAACTTTACACCTCTGTAGTTCATAGTCTACTGACAAACTCCAAGACTATTACTTAAAGGAGCACAAACTTTCAAGTGACACCTGATCCATAAATATTATGAAATCCATCTAAGACCATACATACAACATAATAGAAGAATCTGGTTGAAAAGGCGATTAGGGACTGGCCAGGCCAAGTAAAACACTCAACCTCAAACTGGTGGGGAAAGTCGAAAGGCTACAGTGGTCTGGTTTGTCCAGTTGGAGCTGCTGTCCCACCATATCCATCATAGACAGCTTGACGTACAGATCAGTTATTCTGTACTTTGGATTAATTCAGACTCACTTTAAGCTTATTTCTGTTAGTATAATTTACATAGGTTTAACATAGGGTGACTATACATCTTTTTCCTGGACTTGTCCTCTTTTTTGGGACTTAAAAATGCCTGAAATGTCCAGGATTTCGCCTCATTTCATGTTGACATTTGCTTTTTACGGTCAGAATACTTACTGTGTGCATATTTGCGTTGCTTTGGTGCCTCTTTTTTGCATCCTTTCAGGTCAGCCCTAGTCAAATATGACCTGATGAAGGTATAGCTGCTTTCACGACTCCGGTCACAGGCAGAAACCTGCGTGTAAGAGTCCTTCTGTTGTGCTAATTATGATCCATTGTCAGAATGACGAGATCTGCTGAGTGCAGCAACGCGGTCAGTGAAATGAACACAGTCAGCTCAAATGGTCACGAGCACAGTGCCGGTTGCCAAAAACTGCAAAATGGTTCAGCTTTCTGGATGTTGAAGGTATGACAATGAGCCACAAGGGGGCAGAATGTATCCTTGAAAATGATCACTGTTACAGATGATTGCTCACCAAAGCAACAAAATTTCTCAGCTGGTCGTCAAAATTCATTTTAGAACTTGAGCCCAACCAGCGGATGTAGATTTTAATGTGGGTATATCTGCAAGTGCCTAATTAGACTCATATTAAACGACGCCTTGTTGCTACTTCCTCATGAAAGGATGGCGTTGCAAACATCGTTCAATTTCAATTTCAATTTCAAAAAACTTTATTTGTCCCCGAGGGCCAATTTAAAAGGCATCGTTGGTGGCTGTTTGCCTACTTTAGGCTTCCAGTTCAAAGAATTTCCAAACGGCCGACTTCTCAATAGTTTATAGTTTCAAGCCATAGCTCAGGCCTCCAGTAGCATGTGAGGGAACCTTTCAATCTGCAACTTACATAAATTAGGTCCAAATACTGGGTCTAAAAATTAACACCCAAACGTTATATTTAAATATTTATCCACGTTCAAAAAAAGGTCATATTTAGGAACTAAGGGATGGCATTTCAGGTTAAAACTGCCACAATCAGTCTACAAAAACAGATCATAGTGCACAAAGTTACTTTGTGAGGAGATTTTGCTTATAAGTGAAGCACATGGTGTTTGTGTGTCAACAGCCAATTAAACTGGAAAGGAGACGACAATTTATCACCATTCACATATGATACAGATGGAGTAGGTGTGGGTAATAATGAAGGAGGCACGACCTGAGTAAGTGCATCTGTTGGTATGGCACACATTCCATTATGTTGTTACAAGCAAGTCCTTTTTATCCACTTTTGGTTCAGGATATTTACTGGCAAAACAATTCAGTGTATGCATTTCGCTCGAGGGTGCCTGCTGTTCTTAGAACATTACAGCCATAAGTTCTGTGCTATAACAAACGACCTGCCCTGATTTATACTCACATTATGTTTAGCTGATTGGTGGATACAGCTCAGTCTTCGGGATTGTGGCCTTGGTCAGCGTTGCCACAGGACAGCCCGACTACTGAACTGAACATCTTCGGAATCCATCTCCTTAACCTTTCTGACCAATGACTTCTCAAGAAACCACCAATCAAGCAGAGTTGAAGACCCAGGCAAAGAGTAGATCAGATGACGTCAATGTCACTTTGAGAGCTAGATGATCAACTCTGAATCTGAAAAGTCCAAAGTCCAGAAAAGGGATGTTTTCAGTCGGTTTGCAAAAAAGCCTGTATGAAACGGCCCATACGCATTCCATCCATCCATCCATCCATTATCTATACCGCTTTATCCATCTGGGTCGCGGGGAAGCTGGAGTCAATCCCAGCATCATTGGGCGAGAGGCAGGGTCCACCCTGGGCAGGCCGCCAGTCCACCACAGGGCCCCCATACGTCTTATTACATATTAACTTTTACATACATACATTCATTCATGTCCTTGATGGAGCTCCTCCTGTTCTTATGGACTAAAGGATCTTCTAGCAGGCCTTCACTGGTCCTCAGACGGTTCCCTGTCTTAAGTAGCCCCCAGCCCTTAAACACAGATGCTACAGTACTCCAGGTCGAGTCCCAGCAGCTGGTCACAGGTTATAGCTTCTGCTTATCGGGCAGAGGGTCAACAGGTTCCCGTATGTGTGCAAACCTACACAGTAATATTAGAGCACTCACGTGTGCGCGTCTGTGTGTGGCCCGGCGACACAGTGAGGTCTGCAGGTGAAAGAAGGGTATGTTTGTCACACAGTGTGATATTCAGGAGACAAAGTGGCCATTGTAATCTATACAGAAGCTATGGCATGTTCCATTTTTGATTGGCCTAAATATGGCAAAATTAGCATAAGATTTCAGATTCTTTGTATATCGCTTCTTCGCTACCGATTTAGACGTA